TATATGAACATCAAAATTTCATAATAATTATAACCCAATACTTTTAATCAATAGGAATTGTTCAATCAACAGCTGTCGATTAAATCACAAATAGGTATACAAGAACAATATTGGAGGGAAAGCATTTACAAGTTTAAACGATCAATAAATAATCATTCGGTAACAATAATAAATAAAACGCATAGCTTCTTTATTTCAATAGTCCACTTGACATTGAAGGAGAATGTAGGTACTCACTCTGTCTCAAGAAGTAGGTTTTCACGTACTTATATATCCGGAAGGGATGAAATTCCACGAGTCTTCCTAAAATTGCAGACACGACCAGACCGAAATTACTTAAGAAAATTGTCCTCAACCCCGCTAGTTAGTGGTGTAACTCGCATCGAATTTCTTATCAAATGAACATCGGCTCTCAAGGTAGACAATCGGACAACGACGTGGCAGGCAGTGAACGATCAAGATATAGATGAAGCCAAATTTGCTGGATAAAGTTGAATTGATTGAAATTAACGTCAACTCAACTGAATCTGATTCTTCTTGATTTTATTCATTCTTTTAGGCCTTGGCTTCTTTTTAGGCCTTTGAAGTTAAATAGGTACACTAAATAGGTACACCGACCCTTTCTCTGATCTAAATAGGAACACCGACCCTTTCTCTGCTCGATGTTTGTTCACTCCTGCCTCGCACTCTCGCTTCAATCGTCCTCTGTCCACCCGCACGCCATTTCAATTGAACTATCGAAATGTACATACAGGTTGTCCCAGTATCTCGAAAATGAACTGTTACAAACTTTGAGAAACAAATGAAGGTACCATTTGTAGTGTATGCCGATTTTGAATCAGTACTCAAGCCGATTCAAACCACTGAGCCAAATCCTGAATACTCCTACTCGATCAAGACATTCAAACATGAGCCTTATTCATTTGCTTATTTGATTAAATGTTCATACAATGATGTTTTGTCAAAATTTGTATCGTATAGAGGTGTGGATATAGCCCAGACATTTGTCAGCAAAATTGAAGATGATTTGAAAAATATTTATGAAAATCATCTCAGGTTCCCTATTCCTATGGATGCACAAACTCCTGAGGAAGAGGAACAGTATGCTTCTGGAATTCGCTCTAAACAATTCAATGATGGTGAAGTTGAAGTGAGGGATCATTGTCATCTCACAGAAAAAAAAAGGTCCCCTGCTGCTCATTCATCGTGTAATTTGAATTTTAAATTTCTAAATTTCATTCTCCTATTATTTTTCACAACCTGAGTGAATGTTATTGTCTCTTATTCATAAAGGAACTGTATAAAAACAAAGATAAAGTGGATGTCATCCCACAAACTGATGAGAAATATATATCTTTCACCAAACATCTCTTTACACACTCCTATACGGATAAAGATGATAGGGTGAAGAATTATT